TATTGAGAATGTAGAGTATATCATTCTGTTTGTGTGTGTGTGTGTGTTGCTAGAGAACTTTATAAAATTAAATTTTTATCTAGGCATCACACAATCTAGTCGAGAAATTTAACTTGTCACCCCCTTGCCAACCCAGATAACAGCTGGGGGTTAGGGAGATAGTTGAGAATTTAAGTTCCAGTTTAAAATTTAGTGTTTTGTCAAAAGGTATTATTTTTATTTCAAAAATCCTTATTGTGTCATATTATCACAATAATTTTTTAATTTAAACTAAAATCTTAATTCAGATAATATTATTCATTAATGTTCCTTTTATTCATCTCTTAATATCTCCAAAATTTTAGTTTGATTTATTTTTTTATTGTTAGAGTATTTCCTAAAGTTTCTCAGAAGCTGGCCATGAATGTACATTTGTTGGCTTTCTTTTACCTTCATATGATCACTTTTTGGCTGAATATAAGATTGTTGAATTGCCATCCTATTTCCTTAATTGTTTCTAAGCTCTTCTCAATGCCTTCTGGCTTCCAAAATTACAGATGAAAAGTCCTATGCTAACCTGGTCCTCTTTCCTTATTTATTTTTTTTAAACAGCTTTAGTGAGGTATAATTGACATGCAGAACTGCACATATTTAATGTGTATAATTTGATGAGTTTGGACTCATGCAAACACCACCACCTCGATCAAGGAATTTCTATCCAAATGTCTATGAGAATTTCTCCTTTATCTTTGGAATTTAGAGCCAGGCTAAGTGTATGTACCCACATTTTATTGGTCCCAAGGAGCACAGAAATGAGCTAATGAACTCCTCAGTTCATTTGTTCATTCATTCAATCCTTTATTCAGTTTTGAATGTTCTAGAGGCTTTCCAGGCCCCAGGGCTATAGCAGTGAATATAAGACAGCCCATTTCCTTCTAACACACTGCCTCTATTTGTTTCATTTTATCTTACTGTTTTTTCCCCTTTGTTCCCCTCGCTTTCCCTCTGCCTATAGTGGCACTCAAGAGCACATCTTTTTATATTAATTTAAACATATGTGTATTCTTGAAAAAGCTTTGTGATGTTTCTTATGCATTCCCTTAATATGCCCTTAACATTCCCTTTGGACGTTTACTTATTTGATCAACAGCACGCGTAAGATGCTGCTTTACAATTCTTAACTTATTCCAGCTTCAGAAAAACCAGGCCTAAGAGTTAGTGAACGGCCAAGTCCAAACTTGACCAGAGGAAACGGCACAAAAGGCCAATGCTGTTCAGCGCTCAGCTCCAACCTCCCAAGTTCAAAGCTGAGCTCCTGGCGTCCTCCTGCTTCGTGTCATTCTCCGGCCACCGTCTTTCCCATCTCAGGAAACAGGACCTCCATCCCACAAGCTGTTCGAGCCAAAGCCTTGCTCTTTTCCATGACAACTTTCTCCCAGCCCATGTTCCGCCTGTCATCACAATCCTGTCTGCTGCGTCTCGGAACATACCCCAGCTTGACCAGCACAGTCCACAGTCACAGCCGCTGCCCTGCCCAAACCGCCGTCCTCTCCCACCAGGCTACAGCTTCCTCCTCGTGGCCTTGCTTTTGTCCTTGCTCCCTGCCTGTTCTCAACATAGCAGCCACAGCGAATGTGTTAGAATGGGTCAGACCATGTGGCTGGATTCAAAGCGCTTTGGTTCCTTCCTTTGCACACAAAGGCAAAGCTAAAATTCTTCCTGTGACCTCTAAGTCCCTGTTCAGGGCAGCCCTGCGCAGTCCCCATCTATTTCTCTGTTTTGCTCACCCCGCTCCAACCACTTTCACCTGTGCTGTTCTGCAAACACACTAGTCACACTCCCACCTCAGCGCCTTTGCTCTTGCCGTACCCTCCAGCTGGATTGCACTTCCTCCAGATGCCCACATGGTTAGCTCCTCACTTCCTTCAGGTCAAATTCAAAGTCCTGCTCTTATTTTAGTCTTCCGTGGCTACCTTATTATTGGATCATTTGCATGGACAAAAACATCATTAAGAATTTCGGCAAGGGTAGCTTTGGAGAAAGTGACAGGAGGTGAGGAGCTAACATCTTTAAGAAATAAAGAAGTGATGCGAGAATCTCTAGATGTCTGTAGCAGGAGGAGATGTAATTTAAACGCAGAGCTTCAGAGCTTGCAAAGGGTGGAGTTTCGAAAGGAAGGAGGGAGAGTGATCTGCAGTGACAATGAGTACCAGAGGACACGGACTTTTCCTTCAGGCCCTATGGTATAAAGAGACTCTAGGGACATAGGAGAGAAACTTGCTACCTTTGGTAGAGCACAAGGGATAAAGTATCCTCAGAGGAGAGGCATTTTTAGTTAGAACCAAGTGAGGGAAGCATTTAGAAAAGAGTCTGAGGAAGTAGGGTGATAACAAGAGCTCCAAAGGGCACACTTGGAAGGGCTTTGTGAGTAATGGTACATTAAGAGACGGGTTCAGATTAGAAGTGTTAACAACAGTATGGAGATGAGAGGCTGAGCAATTAGAGGTGGGTGCTTGATGAAACTAGGGACAAAGGGCATGGTGAGATTAGTGTGGTTGGCCTTTCCTTGGGACATTGGGCGCTCTCTCCCAGCAAGTTCCTGTCCTACTAGACAGATCTGTTTAAAACTGTAACTCCTACCAATATATGTTTAATTCATATGTCATTTTCAAACATTAGGTGATTAGATCATTTGCACAGAAGTGTTTGCTTAGCTAGATAATTAATGAGAGATTTATTAGCTTTCCATCTTACTATTGTATGTTCAACTTGGATAATCTGTATATACAGATAACAATCATTTCTAGCTAACTATATTTTTAAAGCTGGAAGAAACAAAACCACTGTTATGTCATGTTCTTAGATAAGCGTTCAATTCATGATATCATCATAGGACATTCACTTAAATAAGTAAATCTAAAAACAAATTATAACACTTTAAAACACCCACACAAAAATGATGTATAATGTTCTTTAAGCTGGACAGGAAAATTATTTTATTGAAGTGTCATTAATATTAACAGTTTCCAAGACACTATGCTTAAGGCTCTATTTCTCAAAATCAGGTTGTAAAAATATGAGGGGGGAAGTGTCTGAGTCCCTCGGTTTTTATCTAGAAACCTTATGATTCATTTGGTATGAATATGTTTCCTCCTGGGAACAGAAGGCAGAAAGTGATTGGAGGAGAGATGTTTTAAATTTACTAAAATATGCATTTTAGTTCCTAAATATTCTAATCATCCAATTTTAGTTTGGGATAAATTTAGATTTCTATGTGGTTTTGATATGCAATGTTAGCCCAGAGGGAATGGGAAGAGATGAACAGGAGACAAGCTCCTGGAATTCTAAGACTTGTTTTATTTTCTAGCAGTTTCACAATATAGTGTCAGGTTGTTCATTGATTGCCTGAAATTTAGATTCTTCCTCCAAACTACCTTCTATTTATCCTATCTATCTATCTATCCATCCATCCATCCATCCATCTACCTATCTATCGTCTATCTATATATCTATCATCTATCTCTATTATATATGATAGATATATAGCTATACTATATATACATATAGCAAAATATACTGCAAGTTCCGTAATTTAGCTGACAATTACAGAATCATATAGAAACAAAAGGGCCTTTTTAAAAAAAAAAAATATCTTTATTGATTTCAGAGAGAGGAAAGGAGAGGGAGAGAGCTAGATAGAAACATCAATGATGAGAGAGTCATTGATCGGCTAGCCTGCATCCCAGGCATGTGCCCTGACTGAGTATCGAACCCCGATCGCCTGGACCCCAGGTCGACGCTCAACCGCTGAGCCATGCCCGGCAGGGCGCAAAAGGGACATTTTTAAACCAGATTCCGTGAAGCTTTGAGGTCCTTCAATGAATCATGAGAAGGAAGCTAGTAGAAGGACACATCTCTGTTTTAACAAGATTTTACTTTTATCTGTTTTATAAATTGTTATTGCATGAGAAAAAATTTTCATAGGTTTTAGAGTTTAAAAAAAATTAAAAATAGTTCCAGTGCCATGCCCACAGCCCACACTGAACCTCACTTTCCCTGGGTTCTCATCTCAGCACTCTTTTCTCTATGCCACATGACTTCTTACCATACACTTTGGTCTGCATATTTTAAATCCTCAAAAATTTGGGTCACAATAATACACTTTAGTAGCAGATGCCATTATACCAGACATTCTATATTCTTATATGAAAGTTCACAGCTTAATGTTCTTGAAAATAATTTATCTGACTTGATCCTTTCTGCAGTAAAAAAAAACCACACAACAAAATCCCCTGGGTTAGTAACAAAGAAACTGTACTAGTAAGTGAGACACCAGGTCATATTCCAGCTTTAATGGTTTTATGAACTAAACCTCAATTCCTTGTTAGTAAAATTGTAAAGTCTTCCTTACAAGTAATAATGTTGCTATTATCGACGTCCAAATGTTAAATGAAATAATCTATGGAATATATATATAAGTGCTTTGTAAAGTGGAAGTAAAGGTATGCATTTTCTTTCTATTATAATCAATTATAAAATAAAAAATATATGTGATCAAGTGTAAAAGCAGGATTCATGGATATTCTCTACAAGAGGCACATTTAAAATATTTCACTGTTTTTTCACTCAGGTATTTCAGTTCTAAACTTTCTAGCAAGTTGTATCTACCTTTTAGAACATAAACTTTCCTTACAAAACTTTCCTTTGAGCAAAGACTAGTTCCATGGATTAAAGCTATGAAAAATTCATCATTTGACCTTCTCTGACCTACAAAAATGACAGTTTTGTATATGTCAACCTAATAACTCAACCTTTTATTTCTAGCACAGTATCTGACATCAAGTTGATGTTAAAAACATTATTAAACTCAACTATTGAACTAAACTTAGAAATAAAAGCTCCTTCCAAAATAATTATTTTTCAGCAAGAAGTAATAGGTAAGTGTGTTAAGAGAAATCAAATTGCCAATGACCCACTCTTTTTTTTTTTCCAGGTTTCTGGGATAGATATATGAAAATAAAAGCTGGAGCTTTAACCGGATTATGGATTTAGAAGAAAGATTCAACACATAAAGGAAGAAATAAAGTGGCAGAGAGCCCTCAGGAACGATGTCCTTTTGCCACAATATAATCAATATTTCCTGCGTGAACAGCAGCTGGCCGAATGCTGTCCGTGTTTCCCTGTATAGTTTAATGGTGCTTGTAATTCTGACCACAGTGATCGGCAATCTGATAGTTATTATTTCCATATCACACTTCAAGCAACTTCATACCCCAACTAATTGGCTCATTCATTCCATGGCCACCGTGGACTTCCTGCTGGGGTGCCTGGTCATGCCTTATAGCATGGTGAGATCTGCTGAGCACTGCTGGTATTTTGGAGAAGTCTTCTGTAAAATTCACACCAGCACTGACATTATGCTGAGCTCAGCATCCATTTTCCACTTGTCCTTCATTTCCATTGACCGCTACTATGCTGTGTGTGACCCGTTGAGATACAAAGCCAAGATCAGTAGCTTGGTTATTTCTGTGATGATCTTCATTAGCTGGAGCATCCCTGCTCTTTTTGCATTTGGGATGATCTTTCTGGAGCTAAACTTCAAAGGAGCTGAACAGATGTATTACAAACACACTCATTGTGTCGGGGGTTGCTCTGTCTTCTTTAGCAAAGCACCTGGGGTACTGGCCTTTATGACTTCTTTCTATATACCTGGATCTATTATGTTGTGTGTCTATTATAGAATATATTTCATAGCTAAAGGGCAGGCAAAATCAATTAATAATGCAAATCGGAAGCTTCAAATTGAATTGGAAGAGAAAAATGGAATTTCACGAAGCAAAGAAAGAAAAGCTGCAAAGACTTTAGGGATTGTGATGGGAGTTTTCCTAATATGTTGGTGTCCTTTCTTCGTCTGCACAGTCATGGATCCTTTCCTGGGCTATACTATTCCACTCACATTGAATGATGCATTAATTTGGTTTGGCTACTTGAACTCTGCTTTTAATCCAATGGTTTATGCATTTTTCTATCCCTGGTTCAGAAGAGCACTGAAGATAATTCTACTTGGTAAAATTTTCCAAAAAGATTCATCTAGGTGTAATTTATTTTTTGAATAAAATCCATAGAATTATACCTTACTGTTTTGCAGAACAGCTGGTAATCATATTTATGAAAACAGCATAATCAACCACATGCGCCAACTGCAGGGTCTTTGATCAGTTACTTGATTTAAAGAATGTATAATGAGATATGATGATTGATTATATCTTGCTTCCTACTTGGGATGTAGAAGATATGACCTTTGCCATTTTTACTATACATATGAAGCTTTGCAAGTTCATAATTTAAGGTCCTACATTTAAAATACTTTTCCTGCTCTTTCATGAACCTCCATGAAATTGAAAGTGTCCTTTACTCAGTTGTTTAGTGGTAGAAGCTATGGACTGCATTTGAAAATGCACATTAGAGTGACTGTCATATATTTGCTTGAATTTGTATGGTTTATTTTTTTTGTAAAATCAGCTAAAAGTACATATAAAAGTTATTTATTAAATAACTATTTATACATACTTTGCTACTTATCATAAATTCTTATTAATATACATTCTAATTCTTTTTTATGTTTATTTTTTTACTGTGTGTATTCTAATTGATTTTGTTTTAAATTTATCTTTATTGTTGAAAGTATTACAGGTTTCCCACTTTTTCCCCCCAATTGACCCCCTCCACCTCACTCCCACCCCCTTCCCAGGCCTTCACCCTGTTATTGTCTGTGTCCATGGGTTATGCATATATGCATATAAATTCTTTGGTTAATCTCTTCCCACCCTCCACCTCCCTTCCCTCTTACCTCTAAAATATGATCGTCTGTTGCATGCATCAATGCCTCTGGATCTATTTAGTTCATCAGATTCTTTTGTTCATTAGCTTCTTCTTAAAGAAGACCCTTCAACATTTCCTGTAGTGCTGGTCTGGTGGTGATGAACTCCTTTAGCTTTTTCTTATCTGTGAAGCTATTTATCTGACCTTCGGTTCTAAATGATAGCTTTGCTGGGTAGAGCAGTCTTGGTTGTAGTTCCATGTTTTTCATCACTTTGAATTTCTTGCCAATCCCTTCTGGCCTGCAAAGTCTCTGTTGAGAAATCAGCTGACAGTTGTATCGGTGCTCCCTTGAGGGTAACTCACTGCTTTTCTCTTGCTGCTTTTAAGATTCTCTCTTTGTCTTTAACCTTTGGCATTTTAATTATGATGTGTCTTGCTGTGGGCCTCTTAGGGTTCCTCTTGTTTGGAATCCTCTGTGCTTCCTGGCCTTGTAAGTCTATGTCTTTCCCCAGGTAGGGAAAGTTTTCTGTAATTATTTTTTCAAATAGGTTTTCAATTTCTTG